TCACTCTCAGGAAGTTCTTCCTCATGTTCAGCCGAAAACTCTTCTGATTTAATTTCAACCCGTCGGTTCTGGCCTGACCTTCTGGGGCAACAGAAAAACACCTCTGGACCAGTGTTCCCTCTAAGCTGAATCAGTGTGAGCTAGCTCACAGTCTATTAGCCTCCGGCTCACACATTTTTGTCTTAGCTCAGGAAGGATGGCTCCAGAGCAAACTGATTTCTGCAGTAGTCAACCCGCTCGCTCACAACTTTAATGCCAGCCGCTCACAAAGCAGAATCTTTGCTCACAAGACTCCACAGCTTAGAGGGAGCTTTGCTCTGCACCCTCCTCTGTAGGGCAGCCCTTCAAGGACTTGAAGATGGTCCCCAGTAGAAGAAGATCCGAGCCCAGTCTTGCCTCCGAGACCCACAAGGTTTTCAGGGGATGCCCTTTCGAGAGTCAAGACGCTGTCTGACGAAGGGAGCGTTGCCTCTCCAAAGCTCCTACCCCAAGTCTTATAGTTCTCGGGGGCAGGAGGGGGAATGGGAGAATCCCACAAGCAGGGACCCAAGAGGCTAGCAGACAGGGATACCGTTAGCCCTCCAGGAGCCCTCTCCATTTAAAAAAAGGATGGCTGATGAATCCACTTAGCCGACAACGCTTCTGGGCATCAGGTTAGCCCCGGTGGGAAATGGGTTGGTGGAAGACATGCGAAGAGACTGTGGCTTAGTGGCAGAGCATCTGCTTGGCATGCAGAAGGTCCCAGGTTCAATCCCCGGCATCTCCAGTTAAAGGATCTGGCAACAGGTGGTGAGAAAGACCTGTGCCTGAGACCCTGGAGCGTCGCTGCCAGTCTGAGTAGACGATACTATGATGGATCAAGGGTCTGATTCAGTTGAACACGGCGTCATGTGATCATGTGAACCACTGGCTCCATCCGGCAATTAGAACCTTTTGCTGTCATGTAGGAGAGAGATGAGCGAGAACTGGCTGTGCCTGAGATGCTAACCATGGGTGGTGGTGTTTTGGGGGGGACAGCAGAAGAGGAGAAGAGATTGGATTTATACCCTGCCCTTCACTACCCGAAGGAGTCTCAGAGCGGCTTACAAACTCCATTCCCTTCCCCTCCCCACAACAGACACCCTGGGAGGTAGGCGGGGCTGAGAGAGCTCTCCCAAGAACTGCCCTTGAGAGAACAGCTCCGAGAACTACGGCTTGCCCAAGGTCATCCAGCAGGTGCAAGTGGAGGAGTGGGGGATCAAACCTGGTTCTCCCAGGTTAGAGTCCACACACTTAACCACTACACCAGACTTGCTCTCGACAGCAGCCACTTGCTCCACACACCCATACCTCTGTAGCTCCTGCCTGCCCTGCCCCGCTTGCAGGGTAGCGGACGCTCCTTGCTTTTTCCCAAGTCACCTTCAAACACAGTGCCAGAAGCTGCCCGGCTCTGTTAAGGCCTCCAGAACTCTTGTCCAAGCTGTGCTTCAAGATGCCCAAAGATGGAGTAGAGAGCACGAGCTGCTCTGGTTCATGTGTAGTTTGGTGTCGTGGTTAAGAGCGCGGACTCTAATCTGGGAGAGCCGGGTTTGATTCCCCACTCCTCCACTTGCACCTGCTGGATGACCTTGGGCAAGCCATAGTTCTGTCAGAGCTGTTCTTGAAAAAGAGCCGTTTCTGTCAAGAGCTCTCTCAGCCCCACCCACCTCCCAGGGTGTCTGTTGTGGGGAGGGGGAGGGAAAGGAGTTTGTAAGCCACTCTGAGACACTTTTGGGTAGTGAAGGGCGGGGTATAAACCCAATCTCTTCTCTTCTTCATATGGGTACGGGAGGACAAACTAGAAGCATAAAGGGCTGGTGGGTTATCTTCAGCCGAGCTGCCACTTCACTGGTCAGGTTGGAGGGGAGAGGGTGCAGTCCCCCGGCGGAAGCGAAGGAGGTCAGGGGTCGGGTGGGGTTCCGTGACGGAAGGGCGGCAGCAGGATTCTCCCCGAAGCAGCCTTTCGATGCGAGACTGACTGTTCCCCGCCCCCCCTCCTCCTCCAGGACTCGCTGGCTTTAGGGAAAGCGGACGAAGAGGCCCGGAAGCATTTCCACCTCAAGTTCAATGAGGCCTTGCGGGAGAGCTGGAAGACCAAGGTCAACTGGCTGGCGCACAACGTCTCCAAGGACAACAGGCAGTAGGGCTGCGGCGGTGCGAGAAACCAGCTCAACTGACCCCTCTCTGCCGGTGTGAGGCGGCCCCTGAGAACTTGCCTCCTGGAGCGAGCACCACAGCTGGTCCCTGTGGTCCTGCGTCACCCAGCCGCCCGCGGTCATCGTGGACTGGACAGTGTCTTGCGGACCGGACCAGGCGTGTGCGTCATTTTGCATTCCGTCATGGCCCTCCCACCCACCCAGAATGGAGAAGGATTTCCCCAGGTCTCGGGGAAAAGCGGCCCCCGTGCCACTGGTTAGCACAGTTCCGCAGCAGCGTGGGTCTAAGGTAGGGCTGCGTGTGCGTGTAAAATGCACCGTTTAGACAGGTGAGAGACGTGCGCTTTATTTCTCCTCTTCGCTGGCCGAACGGGAACCTGAAACGTTAAGGACCGCTGCCTCAAAGAAAAGGAGCCGAGCTCTTTAGGAAAAAGTCGGAGGCTGTTCTTGTACTTACAGTTAGCTCTTAAGGATGCACTCTGGCTTTGTACGCCAGCCCTGCAAAGTTCCCCATCAGAAAAAAAAATACTGTTAAAGAATCAGGATCCCTCCCAGTCAAACGCAAAAGCGGCACAGACCAGTTCTGTGCAACAGCATGGCAAATGGCCTTTGTTGACCTGCAGGGGTCGGAGGGGTCGTTTCCCCCCCATCGGTACTGGTCCCTCTGTTTTCACATGTTCTATAACCGAGACCTCGAAACAAACTGTGCCCTAATGAAGACCTGTTCTTTCTTCCTCCTCTGGACTTCACTGGGATACAAAGAGAGTCCTCACCTGGGATGCCAACAGTCTGTTTCACCACCGTGTGCTCCTAGCGCCGGGATTGCCCGGACAGCTTCTGCAGATAGACGAGACCAGCAACAGGACCTGAAGTTTCCTAAGGCAGGATGCGAAATTACACGGCACCCTCATGCCTTGCAAAGGACAGGAGAGCTTGTTCTACTTTTGAGATGCTGGGGGTGGGGGTGGGGAGAGGCTAACTTAGTTCCGTTCCTGAAAGCCAAAAGCCAATTTGTCCCCCGCTTCTCGAACCAGAGGCGTTGAACCGCTTCTTGTGGCTCTAGGACTTTGGCCAGTTCAAAGCAGAAGGTGCGGTGCCCCACAACGGTGTTTTATTCCCTGCGGTTAGACAGCCATGGCTGTAGCTGCTGGGTACAGCGGCCTATGGAGACAGGGATCCAAACACGGGTTGAGATCACTAAGCCCTGCCTGCCGGCTGCAGCGTCATAAGGACCCAAGTATGAAAACCATTTAACGCAACCCCAGGAATGTGTATCTGCACCAGGCATTCAGTGCTTCCGAACTTCAGGTGGGTCAGAACACCGGGAAAGAGCCCCGTCGCTACTACAGCCATGGTTTCTTCTAGGGTGTAGATCTGGGAACTACAGGAAGTAGAACTGGTTGACAGGCTGGGTACCTGATTAGACCCCAAAAACGTTCTCCAATAGTCACCAGGCCAGCAGGGTTCCTTTCTTGTAGGTCTGACAAGACTATCTCTTGGTGCTGTTAAGGCTCAGGTCCCAGAGGAGCTCTGCGATTTTCTACACGCCTTGGAAAAAACCACAATAACCTACAACTTTGCATCAAACCCCAGGCAAAAGAAAGAGAGAGAGAGAATACTCTCCCAAGTTGAAGAGTGTCGCGAAGGGTCAAAATCATTCCCCCCCCTCCCACAGCAGTATTATATGGTCCTGATCGATGTAAAATCTGTATTCTTTAAATCAAGTGACTGTGAAAGTAACCACTGTGGTACTACTTGTGAGCCAGTTCCGCAGTGTTCTTTTGTTGTTGTCGTTCCAGATGTTTGAGCAGCAAAATCGTGTTTCTAAGGAAAAAAGTTTACATGCTGTCACAAGTGCTTTTTTGGAGTTAAAATATAAGCGGTTTTTTGTTAAGTTGTGTTGCGGTCATTTTCTGCTAGGTGGCATGTGATCAAACGTGTGCTGGATTTTGTAGAGCGGCCAGGCGGAGGGAAAGGGGTGGGGGCTGCTGATTAAGGGAAGCAGGCTTCTCACCTTCCTCTGATTCCCTCCGGCAGAGACAGAAAGCCACAGTAGACGGACACTGAAGCTCAACGGGGAGGCTGACATTTCCTATACTCCACATGGAGGAAAAATTGTTTGTAGACTGCTACTGGCTCTAGATGATTTTCTTTTTTAAAAAATGTAAAGTTCTTCTATGGCTACTAGAAGGGGAGGGCAGGGCAGCTATGTGCTAATGTAAGAGAACTGAAGAAGTTTATCCTTGGGAGAACAGATGCACCCTGTAATGCTTCGTTCTGTCACTAGGTGCCGCAGTTTCCAGTTTATCAGGTGCACTGGCCATTATAAGCCACAGAGAAACAGCAATACGGCAGCACTAAATGATAAGGTTTTTTTATAACAGATTATACCAGCCAGTGAAAGCACAGCCTTTGTTTCTTTAAGCACTTGTTAATTTCATTACACAGGGTTACTTGCTAATCACTTCACTTCCTTACAAAGAACAGGTGCACCCTGTAATGCCTCGTTCTGTCACTAGGTGCCACAATTTCCAGTTTCTCAGGTGCACTGGCCATTACAGGCCACAGAGAAACAGCAATACAGCAGCACTCAATAATAAGTTTTTTATAACAGATTCTATGACAGCACAGCCTTGGTTTCTTTAAGCACTTGTTAATTTAGTTAAAGCAGAGTTACTTACTAGTCACGTCACTTCCTTATAAGGAGTACAGCCAACAGTCAAGGTTTAGAACCAGAGATTTATTGTAGCTCAGACTTTCCAAACTCAACCTATTTACCAATATACACATCTGAAATGTTAGACCCATGATGGCTACAAACGGCATCAGAAAAAGTTTACAACCTTTCAGCATTAGCGTTTTGAGAAAGAGAGAGAGAGAGAGAGAGTCATGATCAAGTTTACAGTCTAAAAATACAGCCGCTACAGTGATGGTAATAATGGAAGGGGTTAAAAGTCTTCCACACAATGACATTTAAAACACAGGACAACTCGGACATAAGTTAAAAGTTTTCCCAGGTTTAAAACTAGCAGTTATGTTACCACGTAAAAGTTGCTGAGACTGGCTTTACCGCCCGTTTTAAAAAAACCTAACACTTTTTTTTTTACATTTAAAAAAAGGGTAAGCTGATTCATGTGGGTCAAAACCTTGCCTGCCTTCTTCGAACCACCCCTCTATTGGGAAAGGCACTCCGGAGACCAGCTTTTCTTCCACTGAAACCCTAGAGCTGCTTGCTGGGAGGGCGAGGGGGGGGGGAGAGAAAGGCAAGAAATAGCTTTGTTTCCAAAGGGTCTGAGAAGCGTCTCTTATCCCTTCCCCACTGCCTGACCCCAGGAAGGGCAAGAGTCCAGGGGGTTCTGCCGGCTCCCCTCTGTGTGTTTCTGGAGCCCCAAATGTGGAAGCCGGTTTGGCGGACGAGACTGTCGACGTTTCGGATGCCCGGCACGACGTCTGCCAGACAACAGCTGCCTTACCCTAGTCTGTAACCCAATGGAGGAGTGTCTAAAACAGTTCTGTGCTTAACATCAAGGGAGTGTTCTATAGCCGCCCTGACCTGGGTGGTCTTAGGCAGGCCTGATCTCATCAGACCTCAGAAGCTAAGCAGGGTCGGCCCTGGTTAGAAGAAGAGTTGGTTTTTGCACCCTGCCCTTCACTACCCGAAGGAGTCTCAGAGCGGCTTACGGTCTCCTTTCCCTTCCCCTCCCCACAACAGGCGCCCTGTGAGGTAGGTGGGGCCGAGAGAGCTCTCTCGAGAACTGCCCTTGAGAGAACAGGTCCGAGAAAACTTGTGACCGACCCAAGGTCACACCGGCAGTTGCACGTGGAGGAGTGGGGAATCAAACCCGGTTCTCCCAGATTAGAGACCACGCTCTTGACCACTACACCAAACTAGATCTTGGATGAGAGACCAGTGCCAAGGAAGTCCAGGGTCGTTATAGAGAAAGGCAATGGCATACCACCTCTGAACGTCTCTCACTTTGGAAAACCCTTACAGGGTCGGCAATGGCAAACCACCTCTGAACGTGTCTCGCTCTGGAAAACCCTTACGGGGTCGCTGTAAGTCAGCTGTGACCGAGGCCACTTCCCACCACCACCTCTATATAGCCGAAGACCGTCCACCCTTCCCCCCAAATAATCATAACCGAACAGAAAGCTAAAAAAGTCTGAGGCCCTCTCCCGGAAGAGTGAACGCGGAGAACACGACTCACCTCCCGAAAAGCCCAGTGCTCCCTCCCGCCCGCCAATGGGGTCGTGACTTGCTTCTCACACTTTCAGACTCTCTGATCTTTCTGAAAACAGGTGAGGTCTCATCTGGGGCCGCCCCACCCCAAACCATGCAGCCCCGGAACCTCGGTAAGTGGATTAAGCCAGGTCGTCTCGGAGGGCCCATGCCCTGATTTCCCCAGGAAGGAGCTGTGGCCAGTGTGTAAACAGATCAGAACAAAAAAAAGGACAAAAAGAAAAAAAGAAAGAACTGCTTGGGACTCCCATAATCCCAAGTCACTGTACAAAGAGCTACGGGGAATGACGCGGAGTGTTTCAAGTGGGAATGATGCCAGGAACTAGGCCCAAGCCTGCCGGGCCTGCTTCCCAGCCTGCAAAGTACAGGTTCGCCTGTCTCGGTGAGCAGCCACGGCAAAAGACGCCCCCTGCAGCGTCTTCCGGGTCCTGCGTCACCATCGCCCTTATAGTCAAACTGAGTCGCCTCCTTAGCAGCTGCTACCGAGAAATCAGAAAGCCCCCAAGTCCCCACCTGGCTTTCTCCACTTGTGCAAAAAGAACATACCTGCTGCCGGGTGTGTGCCAGCCGCCTCGTTTCCTCTCCCCGCGAGCCAAACGCACTAAGAACCCGCGGACGAAATGGCAACAGGTAGGGTGGTTGGTCCCCCCTCCCCAAGAGAAACTCGTGTGTGTGTGGGGGGGAGGAGCAACCTCTGCAGTCTAACTGACACGTTTGCCTCTGGAGTAAAAATTTAGGGGGGAGTGTCCAATGACAGAGCTGGACCAGAGTGAAGATGGTAGTGGGGGTCTGGCAGCCACTGCGCCATCAATTGCTCCTTCTACGCTAAGTCGACCTCGTCCCGTGGAAAATCACTTCTAGATCATGCTGTATGAGTTTTAAAAAATTTCTCTTTTTTTTGTTTTTGTTTTTAAACCGTAGCATGGTTTTGTTCCCTCCCTCCCCGGTTTTCACTACCACGAAGGACATTAATTACATGATCCCGATATATTTACAAAATATTAAAAAGTCTTGTTAGATCTCCTACGCATTAACCTCATCCTGCCACTTTACACATGCACTAGAAGGTGGGAAGAGACTTTCAGGTCCAGAGGGATGGAGCGAGCCGCAAAAAAGGAAAAAAGAAAAAAAGGAAGGAAAGGAAAAGAAAAGAAAACAACAACGCCACCCCCCCCTCCGCAATTACTTTTCATCGACGGACAGTCTCGGAATCTTGTTTCGCCAGGAAAGCGTGAGGGAAGGAGCAGACCCCGGAGGTGTAGCTGCCTCCCCAAGTACCCGGACCCCCCAAAAACCAGAAGTTAAAAAGCCGGACAGTCTTGCCCCGCTGTGTGTCACAGAGCTCTCGAGTCTCTTAAAGTGAGATGGGGCGAGGAGGGAGAGAGGGAGTGCACGCACAAGGCGACCCCTTGCCGGATAAAAAAAACCAAAGCAGGAAAAAAGAAAGGGAATCCAGTCGCTGTGGGGTGGAGAAGACGGAGGAGCAGTGAGCTAGGTTTCTGGAGACACACACACACAAGGTGGCGGGGTCGGGGCCACGCCGGTCGGCTCTACGGGCCCGAGCGACTGGCTCGCGCCTCGGATCCTCGGGAGCGATGGAGCAGGTTGCCGTGGAGTCTTCTGGAAGAGAACGAGAGAGAGACGGAGAGGGAGAGAGAAAGAGAGGAGGGGGTGGCCGCGGGGAGGGAGGGGGGGAGGGAGGGCCGGGATCAATAGGTGAGCGTGGAGTCGTCCCACTCGAGCTGCTGCTGCCGGCTGACGTTCTGCTGGCCCTCCTCGTGCTCCCCCTCCTCTTCCTCGCTGCTCTCGGACTCCGCGCTGGTGATGTCGTCCTCCTCCTCGCCCTCTTCGCTCTCCTCCTCCTCCTCCTCCTCCTCCTCCTCCTCGCTGCTGTGCTGGTCCTCGTACGTCTGGGGGATGGGAGGGGACACCCCTTTTGAGGCTCCGCTGATTTCTCCCTGCCACTCCTTTGCTACCTTTTTTTTTTTTGCTTCAAGGACACCCCCCGGCCCATCGGGGCACAGTGCCACAGCTGAGGGGGGCTCTTGGGCGTGGTGCCAGACAGGCCGGCTTCCTTACAGGAGGACTGCTGGTGCCGCCCGGAGGACCTTTTCGGTGGCAGCCCCATGATTATGGAACGCCTTTCCCAGGGAGGTGCACCTGGCCCCCCTCCCTTTGCAATCTTTAGGGGGCAGCTGGAGACCGTTTTATTTAGGACTCCGTTTTGATTGATTCCTCCTGCCAACCTAGCAGTTCGAAAGCAAGAAATTGCAAGTAGATATATAGGTACCACTTCAGTGGGAAGGTAACAGCGTTCCATGCGCCTTGGTGTTTAGTCATGCCGGCCATATGACCACGGAAACGTCTTCAGACAGCGCTGGCTCTTCGGCTTGGAAACGGAGATGAGCACTGCAACCCTAGAGTCGGACTCGACTGGCTTTCGAGCAAGGGAACCTTTACCTTACCTTTGATTGATTTACTTGCAGTCCTAAACTGGAATTTTAAAATTTTGGTGTTTTTTCTTTAGTTGATTTCATTTTATGTATTTTATCTATATGATCAAGCCTTCTTGACCTCAGCCTGAAAGAAAGAGGCCGAGTAAAACATTATAAATAAATACATAAAACAAAGTTTGAGTCCAGTGGCACCTTTAAGACCAACGAGTTTATTAGTATGTTGATTTTAACACTGTAATTATATTGACCGTGTTTTATGCATTACTGGAATTTGTACTATTGGAATGAATTGTGTTTCATGTATTATTGGAATTCTTATTCTGTTCTGTAAGCCGCCCGGAGCCGGCCTAGGCCGGGAGGCCGGGATAACAAATTAAATAAATCAAATCAAATTTTCAGTGTAAACTTTCGTGTGCGTGTGCACGTCTATAGATATTTTCAGGTATCTGAAGGAGTGTGCATGCACACGGAATTTCACTCAATGAAACTGCTGAGTGGTCGGGTTAGAACAGATAAAAGGAAGGTACTTCTTCACCCAAAGAGTGATTAACACATGGAATTCACTGCCACAGGAAGTGGGGGGGGCTACAAGCATGGATGGCTTCAAGAGGGAACTGGATAAGCATATGGAGCAGAGGTCCATCAGTGGGTATTAGCCACAAGGTATAGATAGGGACTCTGGGGCAAGTGATGCTCTGTCTTCTTGGTGCTTGGGGGGGGGGTCAACAGTGGGAGGGCTTCTAATGTCCTGGCCCCACTGGTGGACCTCCTGATGGCACTGGTATTTCTGGCCATTGTGTGACACAGAGTGTTGGACAGGAGGGGCCTTTGGCCTGATCCAACATGGGCGTCTCTTATGTTCTTATGTATGTTCTTATGTTAAGTTTACACCTTGAATAAAATTCTGTTGGGTCTTCAAGGTGCCACTGGATTCAAACTTTGTTCTGCTGCTTCGGACCAACACGGTGACCCCACCTGAATCGAAGCAAAATAAATAAAGGGGGAAGAGGCTGCAGCAACAGCAAAAGAGGGGAAGCAGCCGAGACCGGGGTGGGGGGTGGGCTACAGACTCTGTGCTGGGCCGTGGGGGTCTTGCCCGCTGGTGCCGTCCGCAACCCAGAAGATGGAGCTCGTTGACAGTCTTTCCCCCAAAGGACCAGATGACCTAACCCTCTTCCTCCTTTGCCAGGGAGTGGCAACTGAGACAGCTCCAGCCAAGCCCTGACCTGGACAGCCCATCTTGCCAGATCTCGGAAGCCAAGAAGGGCAGACCCTGGCAAGCAGGCCTGTAGCTACAGTGGGGCTTTGGGGGGGGCTCCGCTTTCTTTCTTAAAGGCACAGCCCCACAAGAGTTTCTCCTGTACACGCTTTTAAAAATCATTTAAAAACATTTTTAAAAGGTGTGCGCTCCTTTAAGCAGAGTGGGGTGCTGTAGCTAATTCCCTCACTGACCAAGGGGGTTGGAGTAGGTGACCTCTAGGATCCCTTCTGTGTGTCAAGACACTGGTCTCCTTGAAGAGAGTGTTTCTGTCTGAGTGTTAGCTTTCTTGACTCTAGAAGTCATGACTCACACCTGCCGGCTTGTTCTCAGAATTGCTGCTCAGGCTGGCGGAAGTGATTAACTTGCAGCAGCTGAGAACTGTCCTCTAAAGTGGTCGACAGCTTACAACTTGGAGATCTCGCCTGGTAACAGCTTTCTGTTGGCGAAATGGCTTTTCTTTCTGCACTGAGATCTTCAGCCCCACCAGAACAAAATTGGCCCCAGAAGCCACAGAATCCTGGCTATGGGCCTGCTGGCAAGGACTTGGAAGGGTGACCTCCGGGGTACACCAGGGCTTGGGATGCAGAGGCAGGCTATCAAACCACTTCTCTGAAAAATGCCCAAGCCCCCAGTAGGGGTTGCCATGACTTCCAGGCGTTAAAAGCACGCGCACGCACACCAATGTTGCCTCTAAGGTTTGGAGTCTTGTAAGCAAAAATTCTACTTTGTGAGCTACTGGCATTAAAGTTGTGAGCGAGCAATTTGGCTACCGCCTGAATTAGTTTGCTCTGGAGCCATCCTTCCTGAGCTAAGGCAAAAATGTGTGAGCCGGGGGCTAAAAAACTGTGAGCTAGCTCACAGTAACTCAGCTTAGAGGGAACACTGGCACGCACACACACACAATACTCCACACACACACCCCCCCAAAAAAAAGAGAGCTCCAGCCAAGACAAAGGGTCAAGAATAGACAGAGAGCAAGAGGTGAATCACAGGGGATGGTGTTGTTGCACAGCTGAGTCCAGGGATGTCCACTGCTTGCACAAGCATCCTAGAAACCTAGACTCCTTCCCCAAGCTAGCCATTTCGGCCTGCAACTTCTACTGAAAAATGAGACGTGTGCACACAGGAGCCATCAAGGGATCATGGCAGGAGGCTCAAAGAGAGCCAGAAGCCAACGTGAACAGCAGCTGGGGGGGACAGACTGAGAACCACATCCGGTCCTAGATGTTCTCCAGGTGGGATGCAGTCGACAGGCGGCCCGTTCGGGAACAGGGCCAGCGGAAGCCCCGCCCTGCATGCCTTTGAACCGTAAACTGGGAAAGAAGCACAACTCGTGCCCTTACCTCCATCGGGTTGACGGTGATGGTCAAGGCGGAATCGTCCCAGTCCATCTCGTTCTCCTTCCCCGAATCCTGGTCCCGCATCGTTCGCTGGTGGGCGGCTCGGATGCGGAACACGCCCAGAATGATCATGAACACCAGGAAGCTGACACAGACCACGATCACCACGGTGGCCGTACTTTCCCCCCGGGGGGGGGGGGGAGAGAAAGAGAAGCCTGCTCAGGTGCTGCAGCCCGTCACGGTGCAGGAGTCCCCAACAAGGCAACTGCTGACACTTTCCCTGGGGCCTGCCAAGTGCTTTTAGAAAGTGGGCGGGACTAGGTGGGGCTTTTGCTCAGGAGAGCTTCTGATTGGAGGAGGAGGGGGAGATCGGATTTATACCCCGCCCTTCACTCAGAATCTGAGGTTGGCTTACAAACTCCTTCCCTTCCCCTCCCCACAACAGGCACCCTGTGAGGTAGGCAGGGCTGAGAGAGCTCTTTCCAGAACTGCCCTTTCAAGAACAGCTCTGACAGAACTCTGGCTTGGTCATTAAGAACAATCCACAAACAACAGAAAAGACCTCCCAGTATAAACTGGAACAACAAAGACAGACTGGGGAAGTTGCTATCAAAAGCAAAAAGTGATATAATTCTAAAGCAAATCAAGTGTATATTATCCAACAGCAAGAATACAGCACTCCAAATATCAACATATAGTCCAAGAATACAGAGATCCAAATATCAACGAGTAGTCCAAGAATTATGGAGAGTCCGGCTTTAACTTCGTTTCGAAAGTAGACTTCATCAGAAGTAATTTTCAACTTGCGATGTGTGATTATTTCTATTGTTCAAGCACAAAGACGATATTTCTTATGTTGTAATGTAGGCATTTTGGAGCTTAAGCTTTTTGTCATGCCCATTAATAAGAAGTGTTAAATTTTGTTGAAAACAAAGGGCGAGTCCCTGTTAAAAACTACATTACAACATAAGAAATATCATCTCTGCACTTGAACAATAGAAATAATCACACATCGCAAGTTGAAAATTACTTCGGATGAAGTCTACTTTCGAAACGAAGTTGAAGCCGGACTCTTTGTAATTCTTGGACTACTCGTTGATATTTGGATCTCTGTATTCTTGGACTAGGAGCTGCGGTGGCTCAAGTGGTTAAGACGCTGAACTGCAGGCTGTGGAAGGTCGGTAGTTCAGCAGTTCGAGACCCGAGTGTGCCGCATGATGGAGTGAGCTCCCGTCTCTAGTTCCAGCTCCTGCCAACCTAGCAGGTCGAAAGCAAGAAATTGCAAGTAGATAAATAGGGACCACTTCGGTGGGAAGGTAACAGCGTTCTGTGCACCTTGGTGTTTAGTCATGCCGGCCACATGACCACGGAAATGTCTTCGGACAGCGCTGGCTCTTCGGCTTTGAAACGGAGATGAGCACCGCAACCCTAGAGTCGGATTCGACTGGCTTTTGAGCAAGGGAACCTTTACCTTTATTCTTGGACTATTTCTTGATATTTGGAGTGCTGTATTCTTACTATTGTATAATATACACTTGATTTGCTTTAGAATTATATCACTTTTTGCTTTTGATAACAACATCCCCAGACTGTCTTTGTTGTTCCACAACTATGGCTTGCCCCAGGTCATCCAGCAGCTGCAGGAGGAGGAGTGGAGAATCAAACCCGGTTCTGCCAGATTAGAGTCCATGCACTTAACCACGAAAAGGCACCCTGACAAACAAAGCTGAAGGATTTTAGGCAAATGAGGCACTACTAGAGTTATAAACCTTGCAGACTGCGTTCTTGCTTTCAGATAATGATGCTTATATCTATCCTATAGTTTCCCTGTTTGCTTTAGCAGCACCTAAGATTAGATCTAAGGGGCAGGCTACCTGATGGTGATTAAACCCATTTCACTAGTAGTTAATTTTAACCCAGATATTAACAGTGCTTTTTAACTTTTACGACTGCTCTGTTGTATTCTGTATTTTGCAATGGGCAACGGCTCAATACGATAAGCCACTTTGGACTTAACCTTGCTCCCTGACATTTTGTGGGTGGGTCTACCTCTTACAGCACCACTCAGATCCAGTTTGGTGTAGCGGGTAAGAGTGGCGGACTCTAATCTGGCAGAACAGGGTTTGATTCCCCACTCTTCCACATGCAGCTGCTGGTATGACCTTGGGTCAGTCACAAGTTCTCTCACAGGGTGTTGGTTGTGGGGAGAGGAAGGGAAGGGAAAGGAGATTGTAAGCCACTCTGAGATTCCTTTGGGTAGCGAAGGGTGGGGTATAAATCTAGTCTCCTCTTCTTCTTGAGAGCTAGTTTGGTGTAGTGGACTCTAATCTGGGAGAGCCGGGTTTGATTCCCCACTCCTCCACTTGCACCTGGCTGGATGACCTTGGGCAAGCCATAGTTCTGTCAGAGCTGTCCTTGAAAAAGCAATTTCTGTCAGAGCTCTCTCAGCCCCACCCACCTCCCAGGGTGTCTGTTGTGGGGAGGGGAAGGGAAAGGAGTTTGTAAGCTGCTCTGAGACTCCTTTGAGCAGTGAAGGGTGGGGTACAAATCCAATCTCCTCCTCCTCCTCTTCTTCTTTTGTTATTGGCTCCACCTCCCGTGACAGCCATTTTGCCCCGTGTCAGAATTCCAAAGGTGTCTGCAGGCTCAAAAGGGTTGGGCACCACCCTCCTAGCAGCATGCGCCAGGCGGCCCCTGACCCAAGTGCTGGGAAGCTCAGAGGGACTTCATCAGGATCAGGCAGACCCCCTTTGGAGAAGGAAGCCCCCCTCCCCCCGGTTTCTTTGCTACAAAAATACAGTCTGAGCAGTATTACAGAGGGGTGAAGCGGTACTCCTTCCTAACCCATGTTTCAATGGCCGTTTTTATGTTTTTTTGTGTATTTCACCCTCTTTTAAAAAATGTTTTAATGATAGGTGTTAGGGGGCGACTATTTCCTGAAGGCCCCAGAAGAAACGGGCTGCCTCTCATCCGTGTTAGAAACCTAGCAAGGCTGTCTCAGCCCTGCGTGACCCAAGACGCGATGCGCCGCTCGGCTGCAAGTCGCTGCCATTCATTCGCCGTGCCTGGGAGCCAGAGAGATACCGATTCTCAAACAGCCTTTCAATCTGAAGGGGAAGTCAGGAACCCAGAGGGAAGTCACGTCCTTACCTGAAAACCCAGGGTGTGGGTTGGCCAGGTTGTGACCAGAGAGGTCGACAAAAGAATGGTGGACGGGTTGGACAAACTGTGGCTGGGCGGCGATGTGGCTGGCGTGGTCCACGGGGTTGGCCGTGTGGATGACGTGGGGGGGGGGGGGGGGGGGAGAGAGAATGGGCGAAACAGGAAACAAATTAGAAACTCTTGCACACAAGCTGAGCAGGTTAACAAGAAGCTGCCTGGATTCTTTGTACAACTGCCTGTTCCCCGGCCTTAGACAGCAAGCCTTTGGGTACGAACATAAGAGAAGCCAATGTTGGATCAGGCCAATGGCCCATCCAGTCCAACACTCAGTGTCACACAGTGGCCAAAAATACCAGGTGCCACCAGGAGATCCACCAGCAGGGCCAGAACTCCAGAAGTCCACACACACAACCACACTGTTATCCTCCCAAGCACCAAGAATACAGAGCATCACTGCCCCAGACATAGGAGAAGCCATCCTGGCTCAGGCCAATGGCCCATCTGGCCCAACACTCTGTCACACAGTGGCCAACACCCAGGTGCCATCAGGAGGTCCATCAGCGGGGCCAGAACCCCAGAAACCCTCCCACTGTTGCCCCTCAAGCACCAAGAAGACAAGAGCATCACTGCTCCAGACATAAGAACATAAGAGAAGCCCTGTTGGATTAGGCCAATGGCCTGTCCAGTCCAACACGCTGTGTCACACAGTAGCTAAAACCCAGGTGCCATCAGGAGGTCCACCAGCAGGGCCAGAACTCCAGAAGCCCTCCCACTGTTGCCCCAAGCACCAAGAAGACAGAGCATCACTGCTCCAGACATAAGAACATAAGAGAAGCCCTGTTGGATCAGGCCAATGGCCTGTCTAGTCCAACACGCTGTGTCACACAGTAGCTAAAACCCAGGTGCCATCAGGAGGTCCACCAGCAGGGCCAGAACTCCAGAAGCTCTCCCACTGTGGCCTCCCAAGCACCAAGAAGACAGGGCATCACTGCCCCAGAGTGTTTGATCCATACTTTGTGGCTAACAGCCACTGGTGGGCCTCTGCGCCATATGTCTATCCAGTCCCCTCCTGAAGCTGTCTAGGCATGTAGCCAGTTTCCATTTTTGTGCCCTTTGGGGTGTCTTTGTGGGTAGCCCTCTGCATTCCTATCGTTGGGTGGGCTGAAGAGGGAGAGGTTCCAGAAATGGCAGAATACGGCACCTCAATCCAGCAAAGGTCCCAGTGAGATGTCGCCGGCTAGCGTTTTGGTCAAGGCCCCAGAGATTGCACACTGGCTGCCCTTGACTGACTTTGCTACCAGGGAGGCGACCACTAAGTCGGGGGCCACGGATCAGTGGCAGAGCCCCTCGTTTGCATGGGGAAGACCGGCCAGTTCGACCCCAGGCACCACCGGCTGAGAAGAGTCTCTGGACGTAGGTGCTGGGAAAAGACCTTCCCCCTCTGCCCGAGATCCTGCAGGGCCACGGCCCGCCCCAGCGAGCCACGCCAAACTAGAGGGATCCACAGCCTGACTCGGCGCGAGGCAGCTGTCTGCCCCGCCCCACAAGCCCCACAATCGGCTCCTCGGGGGCTTCCGGCACACCAGCTCTGCTCGCGTACCTCCACTTTGAACTCGTTGCTGACGTAGCGGCCGTTGAGCTCCGAACAGACCAATCTGAACTTCCGGTCAAAGAGAGCGGCGATGTGCCAGTTGCGGTAACGGATGAGGTGCAGAACCTCTTCGTAGCTGGCCATGGTGTCGACCCCTAAAGGGAGAGCAACGCAGCCGCCGTCAAGGGCAAGGAGGGACTGGGTGGGGGCGGCGAGGAGACACACTCCCCCACCCCGCCCCGGACACATAAACGCTAGTGAAATGGATCAGACTCAGGCAGCTCTTAAACAAGTGATTTCAGCTTTATTGAACCAGAACAAATCAACACGAAAAACCATAGGAGCCTGAGCTCCTTTTAAACATCCCGGGCTGGGAAAGCCACGCCCAGGTGAACGGTAAGAACCAATCATATTAACACAACAAAGACCAATCAATGTTGTTCCCTCCAGTCACAATCCTTAGCTCTGATTGGCCTGTTGACAGAAGCAGCCAATCAGAACGTGCACTCTAGGATACCGGGCTTTAACATACTGTATCTGAAGCGTAGGCATGCAGTAGAAATCATAATATATGACAGCTAGACTGGAGGCTTTGGCGGCTGTTCTGCGGGGCTCGCTTCAGAGGGTCTGGGTGGGGGGGGAAGGGGGCGGGGCCAGATTACGATTTTCTCTCGCTCGATAATTGGATTGGAGGATGCTACTTGCCCTGAAGGAGGAATGAGATGCTAAAGAAAGCGCTGGCATTGGCTGGTGGTACCTTCCGAATCTGGGCTTAGCTGTCAGACTCTCAAGTTACTCTCAACCACACTGTCTTTGGCAGTGAAAGGCTTTAGTGAGATATAAACAAGTTCCAGGCCTTAACAGTACTATGTCAGTTCTAAAGATTTTGGCGGGTATATGCAAAGAAACGGGTAATTCAAATGTAACCCCTCCTAAGCCCCATACGTACGTCACATTCACCCTGCCTAGCTCCAGCGTCTCTAACCCCCTTCTTTCACACGGGAAATATATGATTCCATTATCTACTGAGCAAGCAAGCCGGCACTGGAAGATTCAAGGACGTCCCTCTGTGAACCAGAGAAAGGCTCTCCTTAAATGTTACGCCTCTAAGATACTGCAGTCACACACTCCACACTCACACCCCCTCCTAAGGAACTCCCCTCCCCCCAGCATCTATGGCAAACTGAGAGGAGAAGAAGAAGAGGAGGAGGAGGAGGAGGAGGAGGAGGAGGAGGAGGAGATTGGATTTATACCCTGCCCTTCACTACCCAGAGAAGTCTCAGAGCGGCTCACAAACTCCTTTCCCTTCCCCTCCCCACAGCAGACACCCTGGGAGGTAGGTGGGGCTGAAAGAGCTCTGACGGAAACGGCTCTTTTTCAAGAACAGCTCTTATCAGAACTATGGCTTGCCCGAGGTCATCCAGCAGCTGCAAGTGGAGGCGTGGGGAATCAAACCCGGTTCTCCCAGATTAGAGTCCGTGCACTTAACCACTACACCAAACCCCCCTTTCACATGGGAAATGCATGATTCCATTATCTACTGAGCAAGCAAGCTGGCACTGGAAGATTCAAGGACGTCCCTCTGTGAACCAGAGAAAGGCTCTCCTTAAATGTTACGCTTCTAAGATACTGCAGTCACACACTCCACACTCCACACTCACACCCCCTTCCTAAGGAACTCCCCTCCCCCTAGCATCTATGGCAAACTGAGCAGAGCAAAGCGAAGCAAGGTTTGACATTAGCAGAGCACTGCAGAAAAGAGACCTCCCTGGCGATCCAAGATACTCCTCTGTGCTCAGCTGCAGAGACTGCCGAGGGAGACACGCTTCGGCTCGGACCTTCTTTGGGAATTAATTGTCCAGAGCAGAACGAGGGACCGGGGACTTCTGAGGGGCCAGGATTTTTTCTTTTGTGAGGTGTATTTTTTTCCTGGGGGGGGGGCAACCATTATGAGGGAGTGAAGGGCTTTTGTAAAAATAAGACATTATTGCTGCTCAAGTGGTTAAGACGCTGAACTGCAGGCTGTGGAAGGTCGGTCGTTCAGCAGTTCGAGCCCCGAGTGTGCCGCATGACAGAGTGAGCTCCCGTCTCTAGTTCCAGCTCCTGCCAACCTAGCAGTTCGAAAGCAAGAAATTGCAAGTAGATAAATAGGGACCACTTCGGTGGGAAGGTCACAGCGTTCTGTGCGCCTTGGTGTTTAGTCATGCCGGCCACATGACCACGGAAACGTCTTTGGACAGTGCTGGCTCTTCGGCTTTGAAACGGAGATGAGCACCGCAACCCTAGAGTCAGATTCGACTGGCTTTCAAGCAAGGGAAACCTTTACCGTTACCAATGCTGCATGTGATCAAGTAGCTAGGTTATACATAAATAATACGGAAGTGTGCTGAAGCATGCGAGGCTGTATGTTGGCGCAGTGCTCTGTTTCATGTCCCCCTCTTCATGTCCACCCAGCTCGCCACCTCTCTCCCCCTCCCAGCCCTTCACAGGGTTTATTCATTAATATATTGCTTAAGAATCAAAACCCTATGAATACTTCCTACCTGGCCCGTAGCTAACATGGGGCACACGGGGCCCAGCCCCCTAGTCTTTCTTCTGGGCCCCTTCACCTGGGCTGCCCCCAAAGTGCTCTAACTTACCAACTGCACTGTACTTCCGTTTAATTAGCCCCCGAGACCCCCTCCCAAAAAATTCCCTAGCTACGGGGTTGCTTCCTACCCTCCAAGCCACCGAGCCATCTGTTTCCTTCCCCACACCAATCCCCATCTATGCCTCTTGTGGGGCGGGGCTGTAAATTAAGGGGGCGGGGCCCCAAGATGCCCCACTGTAGCTATGGGCCCTCTGAGGGCAATCTCCTGTTTTGTTTTTAAAATTTATAATTTTTATTTAAGAATTTAAGAACAATACAAGGTAAGTACAATAGATGTCTGCAGATGAAGTACAAACATAGGTTAGAAAAAACATTAATGCTTAACTATGTCCAGGCTGAAGACGCCAAAGAACTGTATCACACACTACAAAACATCTCTTAAGGCAACGATCGTATAATAAATACATATCCTTATGGGCAAATTTTAAATCAGTGTTCTGAAAGTAACTTCAGGTATTATCTTAGATCTAAGGCAAATAATGTTTCGGGTTCAAGTTTCAAAATTATATCTTTGATTTGTATAAAGAATTTGCTGGAATTACATCAGATTCAACCATATAGTTAGTGAGTGAAAACCAGGATGCTATAAATTTTTCTTCAAATTTGCTGGAGGAGAGATTGAGTGTGCTAAGTGATAATTTGGACATAATGAAGTGGTCTCAAATACGATTTTGCCAGGATTGGATCGTGGGTGGAAGTCTGTCTAGCCATACCGCGGCTATGGCATTTCTGGCTACAGCTAATGAAGTGTGGATCAGAACAGTCTTCCTCTTATTGCCCTGTGGATCTGACCAATTATTTAGTAGTAGTGTTTCTGGTTAAAAAAAAAAGGCAACTGTATATTTGTAATCAAGGAGATGTGATGTGATCAGTGTTCCCTCTAAGCCGAGTTAGTGTGAGTTAGCTCACAGTTTTTTAGCCTCCGGCTCACACATTTTTGTCTTAACTCAGGAAGGATGGGGCTCCAGAGCAAACTCATTTATGCAGTAGCCAAATTACCTGCTCACCACTTTAATGCCAGTCACTCACAAAGTAGAATTTTTGCTTACAAGACTCCACAGCTTAGAGGGAACATTGGCTGTGATATCTGAGACCAGAATGACTGTATGTGTTGGCACTTCCACCAGCAATGGAAAAAGTTGGCTTTTTGTCCACAGTTCTTTCTACACAGGGGATCCACTGCTTTTATGATATGATGAAGAGTTACATGCACCAAGCGTCTCTGGTTGGCAGGGGGCATCCCCTCTGTTGAGCCCCCTGGAGCTGAACAGAATTCAGTCGCCCTGTTTATAGACCGACGCAGGAGTGTGGGAGGGTCAGAGGGACACACCTGTGCCTGCCTCCACCCCCCCCCCCGCCAGCAACTCAGCCGGCCTTGAACTTGCAGAAACATTTCAAGTTGTGAAGAAGCCCTCGTCCTCCAGGCTCAGAAAAGATGTGCCCAACTCAAAACGTTTGATTTAGACTTGGAAAACCCACGCTCCCTCTAAGCCGTGGAGTCTTGGTGAGCAAAAATCCTACTGGCATTCAAGTGGTGAGCAAGCGACTTGGCTACTGCATAAATTACGTTTGCTCTGGACCCACGTCCTTCCTGCGCAAGGACAAAAAAAAAAAAATGTGTGAGCCGGAGGCTAAAAAACTGTGAGCTACCTCACCCTAACTCCGCTTAGAGAGAACACTGCTTGGAACGACAACGGCTGGGCCGTTCGCATTTGGAATCCCGGATGCGTCGTGAAGAAGAAGAGAAGAGATTGGATTTATACCCTGCCCTTCACTTGGAGTCTCAGAGCGGCTCACAAACTCCTTTCCCTTCCCCTCCCCACAACAGACACCCTGTGAGGTGGGTGGGGCTGAGAGAGCTCTGACGGAAACTGCTCTTTTTCAAGAACAGCTCTTATCAGAGCTACAGCTTGCCCAAGGCCATCCAGCCAGGTGCAAGTGGAGGAGTGGGGAACCAAACCCGGTTCTCCCAGATTAGAGTCTGCACACTTCACCACAACACCAAACTGGCTATCACCAAACTGAGCAGTGTTCCCTCCAAGCTGAGTCAGTGTGAGCTAGCTCACAGTTCTTTAGCCCCCGGCTCACACATTTTTGTCTTTTGCTCAGGGAGGAGGGCTCCAGAGCAAACTAATTGATGCAGTAGCCACATTGTTTGCTCACAGCTTTAATGCCAGGAGCTCACAAAGTAGAATTTTTGCTCACAAGACTCCCCAGCTTAGAGGGAGCATTGGTCGTGAGCACTCAGTGATCACTGGGGTTACCGGCTGGATCGCAGATGAAGTTCACTTGGAAGCAAGCGCTAAGAAAAAAAGATGTCCGGCCGATCTCGTGACTGCTCGGATCGTTGCTGGGCTCCCCGGCGCACCAAAGGCAGAGGGCCGACACTCACCCGTAATGATCACGCCAAGGTTGGAGCTGCTCATCTCCATCCCCTTCTGCTGCAGCCGCACCAGATCCACCTCCAGGCTCTCCTGCTCCTGGTTGAGCTCCTCCCCCACCACGGTCACTTCGCAGGTGTCCAAGTTGTGCATGATCTCTTCGGACACCAGAGACTCTTGAACTGCAGAGACACAGGCAGACACTGAGGTCAGGCAGGCCCGGGGGGGGGGGGGGAGGAAGTGACAGAAACGGGCCCCAGCCTCGGCATACTTCTTCACCCAAAGAGTGATTCACACCTGGAATTCACTGCCACAGGAGGTGGCGGCGGCTACAAGCATGGACAGCTTCAAGAGGGAACTGGATAAATATATGGAGTAGAGGTCCATCAGTGGCTATTAGCCACAAGGTATAAACGGGAACTCTCAGGCTGGGGCAAGGGATGCTCTGTATTCTTGGTGCTTGGGGGGAGGGGGGGGCTTCTGATATCCTGGCCCCACTGGTGGACCTCCTGGTGGCACCTGGTATTTTTGGCCACCGTGTGACAGTGTGGGACTGGATGGGCCATTGGCCTGATCCAACATTGGCTTCTCTGATGTTCTTATAGTTAGGAACTCTGAGGCTGGGGCAAATGATGCTCTGTATTCTTGGTTCTTGGGGGGGGCAACAGTGGGAGGGCTTCTAATGTCCTGGCCCCACTGCTGGACCTCCTGATGGCCCCTGGTATTTTTGGCCTCTGTGTGACAGAGTGTCGGACTGGATGGACCATTGGCCTGACCCAACACTGGCTTCTCTTACGTTCTTATACCTTCTGGCAGACCTTCTGGGGGCCCCCTCTGCTGCCACCCCCACCTGCTCATCCCCCCTGCTGTCCATTTGCTTGCCATGGGCCCTCCCCACCACCCTCGCTTCCAGCACAGTCAGGAAAGGGTCTGTGAGTACTGTGAAGACTGGAAAATGAACCAGTGGGCGGGGGAAGCGTGAGTGGGGGGACGATACGGCAAGTAGAAGAAGAAGAGAAGAGATCCTGCCCTTCACTCGGAGTCCCAGGGCGGCTCACAATCTTCTTCCCCTTCCCCTCCCCATAACAGGCACCCTGTGAGGTAGGTGGGGCTGAGAGAGCTCTCTCCAGGACCGCTCTTGAGAGAACAGCTCTGAGAGAACTTGTAACTGACCCACGGTCACACCAGCAGCTGCACGTGGAGGAGTGGGGAATCAAACCCAGTTCTCCTAGGGACAGGGGCCCCAGGTAGTCTCTGCTCCAGGGGCCACTGAAACCAGGAACTGGCTTTTGACAGAAAGCCCACCAACATATGGCTCTGCCGTTTCCACGCTGTCTTCCGCAGAACTAGCTTGGCCAACAGGCCTCCAGGTTTCCATGTGGTACCTCCTCTCCTTCCTCCACCCCTCGGCATCCACACCCTCACCCCTGCCCTCAAAGGGGCCGTGTCCCTTCTGAATTGTGCACAGCGTCTGGCTCTAACTACTCCACGGTCAGGCACGGAGACTTCACCTGTGGGATCTTCGTCGCCGTCTCCCTCCGGCTCCACCTCCCGCGTGATGGTGCTGATGATGCGGAGCTCGGGGAAGAGGGAGACCCCCTCGGGGCTCTCGAACTCCGAAGCGGAACGGGCGAAGTGGTTGATGCCGCTCAAGCTGATCTTGGGCTCCTCGGGCTGCAGGACCATGACGTAGCCGTCGACGAACGGGATGGCCATGCAGGCCTCTTCGCTGGAGCACCTGCGGGAGGCGATCGAGACCCGCGGCTGTTAAAGCCCGAAAAGCTCACGTGTCACGAAGACAAACGCAAGGACACGCAATGCACAGATCTGGCGTTACAGGAGGGAACCCGGTGGCCTTCAGCTCTACGTGGTCTATTTTAACGTGGCTGGTGTACATCACCGTGACCGTGCGTCAGCCCCGATTTTCTCCCAGTCTCGGGTCTTCCCACGATCTGCCGTCAGGTGTACCATCCAGACAGCACAAAGTGTGAATGAATGGAAAGAGCCCACATGCCACTGCTCTAAGCCCACGCTCCAGCAGAGCGGAGAAGGCCTCTTTCAACAGCCTGCTGGACGACACGTCAGCCGCCACAGGGAGCGGCCAAATTGGCAACTGCTGTCTGTGCAACTCCAGCAGGTCTTCCTTACAATGTTCCCTCTAAGCTGGGTTAGTGTGAGCTAGCTCACAGTTTTTTAGCTTCTGGCACACACATTTGTGTCTCAGCTCAGGAAGGAGGGCTCCAGAACAAATTAATTGATGCAGCAGCCAAATTGCACACTCACAGCTTTAATGCCAGTAGCTGACAAAGTAGGATTTTTGCTCACAAGACTCCACTGCTTAGAGGGAACATTGCTCCCTAACCATTCCCCCCCCGCCCCCCGTTTATGGGCTCATATGGGTAAAGTTCTCTAAGTTGCATGGTGAGCTGCTCAAGGGGAAATTCCAGTGTTGGCAGACCAACATTTAGGGGTCAGGTTTAGCGAGTGTCTATCAACTTGGGCTTTTTATCATCTTGCAGATCAGAAGAAGATGACGAAGAGGAAGAAGAGGAGGAGTAGGAGTTGGCTTTTATACCCCGCTTTTCTCTCCCCGAAGGAGTCTCCGAGTGGCTTACAATCTCCTTCCCTTTCTCTCTCCACAACAGACACTCTGTGAGGCAGGTGGCGCTTAGACAGCTCTGAGAGAACTGTGACTGGCCCAAGGTCACCCAGCAGGCTTCATGTAGAGGAGGGGTGGGGAATCGAACCCGGTTCTCCAGATTAGAGTCCCCCGCTCTTAACCACTACACCACGCCGGCTCTCACCCGGAGCCCTTGAGGATCTTGGCAACGGAATTATAAAATGGAAAGCTCCAACTAAAGATGGTTTCTTTTGACAAAATCTAGTTATAACTGCTATCGTGACCTAAGATGGCTGGATTGTAAAAGGGACAGATTGCGGGAGAGCCGTGTGGGAATCCCCGCTAGGGAGGGAAGGATTTGGGATTGCCTCACCGTGGCCTTAAAAATGCAGCACGGATAGTGCAGCAGCACCCTAAAATTCTTTGCACCTGAACACACCTGAGTCACAGGACTGGTCAGACTGGCCCAGTGCGACCAAAAATGGGGAGAAAAACACAACCCTCCATGAGAAAGGTAACCAAAAAAGGTTGAGGCAAAAAAAGAACAACTAAAATATAGCTATGCACATGGTGCTAATGTACAAATTATCATATAGAATTTAATTATACATTCAAGAGTGCTAAAATATCATTTAAAAACCACAATCCTATGGTCCTGCATATAAGTATCTATTCCTAGTATAAAGACAAATGTCCAATCATATAAATACAGGTTAAAAGGTACAAATAATATCCATATACAGGAACCAATACCAAACGCATTTCGGCTAAAAGCCTTCCTCAGAGGTAAAATTCAAAGTGAGCACACTCCATAAATTTAAGAAAAATATAAACGTAAAGGTTCCCTTGCTCGAAAGCCAGTCGAGTCCGACTCTAGGGTTGCGGTGCTCATCTCCGTTTCAAAGCTGAAGAGCCAGCACTGTCCGAAGACATTTCTGTGGTCATGTGGCCGGCATGACTAAACGCCGAGGCGCATGGAACGCTGTTACCTTCCCACCGAAGTGGTACCTATTTATCTACTTGCAATTTCTTGCTTTCGAACTGCTAGGTTGGCAGGAGCTGGAACTAGAGACGGGAGCTCACTCCGTCATGCGGCAACCTGGGTCTCGAACTGCTGAACTACTGACCTTCCACAGCTTGCAGTTCAGCGTCTTAACCACTTGAGCCTCCGCAGCTCCTAAGAAAATTATACATCAAAACTTATCATTGTCCCTGATAAGGCAATTTTACTTGCACTCTTAGGACCTAAACTGGAAGGTACATATTGGTACTGATAGTCTTTCCAGCATATGCAACTACTTCTGGCACAAAGCGAGATAAATTTGTGGCCCCAAATAGAAGTCTTTTGGTGTGCCATTCAATTCCAGATTGGAACATTAAATTTTTGTCCTATATTATTAATTGTTTATTGCCTTACATGGGCTACAGGGTCTTTGTTGCTTGATGTACTTTGTACTTTTTGACCTCTGATGAGGGCTCTTGCGATCCGAAACGCGTCAGGTCATACGCTGTTCTTTTTTGCACATCTGTCACTTTGAACATTTTATGAGGCTTTACTTGGGGCCCTACGAGGTTTTTATATCTCTCTGAAATAAACACTCTTTTGGCTATATGTTTTTTAACATTTGGACCTCAGTAAGTTTCCTAAACTTCCTTTGGAGGTTTTTACAATGAGAAAAGAATTATCGTTAACAACCTCATTTATTACGAGACTGGCCCAGTGATACGGACTCCGTTTAGCGGTGGCACCAAAGGCTTCTCCCTACTATGCTACCTGAGATCATTTAACTAGGGGGGCTTGAGGACTGAGCCTTAGATCCGCTGCTCTACTATCAAGCTGTGAGCAGCCCTCGTCTCTCACACCCACAGCCTGCCTTCGGGGATTCGGCTGCCACAAAAGAGGACTTCTGGCTCTCTCAGCGGCGGAACTGTTACCGATCGCAGCGTGGCGGATGACGCAACTCACTTGACCGCGCTGGTGATCTTGATCCTCCGGATCCCGGGCGTCGGGAACTGGCGAGAGTTCAGGTAGGAGATGTGCTGCATGGCCTTGTCGAACTGGTCGATGTCGTCTCCTTCCAAGGTCAAGACCGACTGGCCGGGGTTCATCTGGATCTGAAAGGCCGAGCGGAGGTACAGTGGCATGGGAGATGTTTCGCGGGGAGGAGGGAAGAAAAACCAGGGCTAGAATGAGCTGGATTCATTAAGCGGTGTCCTCCTTTTTCTCCACAACCCTGGGCTTCCTCGGTAGTCTCCCATCCGAGTACTAAGCGGGGCTGACCCTGCTTCGCTTCCGAGATCTGATCAGATCGGGCTAGCCTGGGCCGTCCAGGTCCAGGCAAGAGACAAGCAGAGGTGGCTTGCCCTTGCCTGCCTCTGCGTAGCAACCCTGGACTTCCTTGGTGGTCTCCCATCCAAGTACAAAGCAGGCCCAACCCGGCTTAACTTCCAAGCGCTGACAAGGTCAGGCTACCCTGGGCCACCCAGGTCAGGGAAGTGCCCTTCCAGTCGCACCAAAATGAAGGTTAGGGGCCCACTTATCTGCCGTTGATGCCCGAAGGATGTTGCATAAAACGAGGGTTACAGTTAATTAACGAACTGGCCCTCTTTCGCTCAAAATGCTGTTCACGCACACATTTAACATGTCGTTTCACCATGTAGGAAACTCTGTAGGAACCCGGCAGCGTTTGCTTAATGCTACGATAACCGAACTGACGGTTCAGGATTTCCCCGACGGCCACCACCAGGTCTGCAGTTAGCAGGTGCTTAGAGCAACATCCTGCAGCTGTTATGCTAGCTCCTAAACAAACGGAATAGATTCACAGAAGGAAGTGATTAACGCTTCCTGCTGCGGGGAGGCGGGGGCGGAAAGAGGGAAAAGACAGTTTGCTTTTTTGTGTTGAAGAATTCCAAGGGGCTATACGACAGGCACTGAACCGACTGATTGATAAAATGCAGGAAAACATAAAACCATTAGAGGCGATTATTTATAGCATAAGTTTGGAGATTCCTGGGGGGGGATACCAGTTTGTTAAATTTTGGCTGCCTGTAAATTTTAGGGGGGTTGTGGTGGAGGGAGGCAGTAACACATTTGTTTCCTGTACAAGCGATCTGGTTTCCTTCCTGCATCTTTAAAATATTGTCAGAAATCGACAGATAAATAAATCTAACCAACATCTGCCCTGATCTCTAGGAAATCTTGTAACATTTCACTGTGTAACTCATGTGTATTTTCAAAATACACTGTGAGTACGCACATGAACTCACATGAAACTGCCCTATACTGAATCAAACCCTCGGTCCATCAAGGTCAGTCTTGTCTACTCAGACCGGCAGTGGCTCTCCAGGGTCTCAGGCGGAGGTCTTTCACATCACCTCCTGCCTGCTCCTTTGAACTGGAGAAGCCGGGGATTGAACCTGCGACCTTCTACGTGCTAAGCAGATGGTCTACCAGTGAGCCACGGCCCCTCCCAGTGGTTTAAGACTCTCAACTAGTCGAGGCGGTCCTGGATCTTCCAGCGCTTTTCAAACCACATTTCAGGTGTCCGGGGCCCCCAGTTTGGATATGCTAAGCAGATGGTCTACCAGTGAGCCACGGCCCCTCCCAGTGGTTTAAGACTCTCAACTAGTCGAGGCGGTCCTGGATCTTCCAGCGCTTTTCAAACCACATTTCAGGTGTCCGGGCCCCCCAGTTTAGATCAGAGCCAACAACAAAGGATTTAACCCATGCCAGTATAGTTTTGTCATCCAAATTGCTCCCCCCCCCCCAAAAAAAATGCTACCGTTAACCTTGAGAAGAGAACAAAATGCAGGGAGTCCACCTTTTGTCCTAGATAGCAGGAACAGGGGAAGGGGGAAGGCAGCAGTTTTAACAGGTAAAACCAGGCAGGTTTCAACCCTACTCCCCTTTCTTTGAAGGGCCCAACTAGGGACGCCAGCCTCCAGGTGGGACCTGGAGATCCCCTGGAATTACAGCTCCTTTCCAGACTACAGAGATCAGTTCCCCTGGAGGAAATGACAGCGTTGGAGGGTGGACTCTGTGGCAGGGTACCCTACTAAGGTCCCGGTCCCCCCCAGGCTCCATCCTCAAATCTCTACGGGTTTGCCCACCTGGAGCTAGCAACCCAACCCCCCCCCTTCCCCTGCTGCTGGCCAGGGGGCCCTTGGCAACTCTAGGTCCCACCCACCTGAAACTGAGCTTTAAGAGAAGCCGGAAGCTCCATGATAGCCCACCGCGTTTCACTTGGACATTCAAGCTCCATCTCTGCCTTCTACAGTCGTTGCCGGGCCTTACGCCACCCCAGTTTTGAGTAACCGTATTTAGAAGGGATGCTCACCGCTCACTTACAAACACGTTCACAATTTTTTTTGGGGGGGGGGGTACGTTACGAAACTCTTCAAACCAAAATAACATTTTTTAAAAACCCAGCTGAGCGTGAAAACCTCCCCAGGGTGTCCAGATGGTCCCCGGCGTTGAAGACCTTGAGAAGGCAGCTCTGCTTTGCTCAAGATCTGTCTCTCCCGACGCCTCCAGGCCAAACTTTGCTCTCCGGTGACTGCCGTCAAGCCAGAACTCGCTTGCGGCGACCCCAGCGAAGGGCATTCAAGGCAAGCGAGAAGCAGAAGTGGTTGGGCCGTTGCTTTCTCCTGCAAAGTCACACATATTGTGCGGCTCCCGGCAGGGGATGTGAAGGGGAGGGCATGCCTCTCCGATCTGTCTTCCCTTCCCCAGCCAGTGTTCTTCCCACCTGTCTTTCTCTTTTTCTCTCTTTCTCCCTGTCTTCCTTCCTTCCTCTCTCTTTTCCTTCTGTTCCCCTCCCTCACTTCCCCATCTATTTTTGCTTTCTTTCTCTCTCTTTCCACCTCTTTCATTCTTTCTTTTCACCTCTCTCACTCTTTCTCTCTCTCGTAGACAAATAAATGTCGTTAGCAAAGAAATAAATATCATTGGACTCAGGGCTCTTTTTGTAGAAAAAGCCCAGCAGGAACTCATTAGCATAACAGGCCACACCCAACAGCAGGAACTCATTAGCATATTGGGCCACACCTCTCTCTCTCTCTTGTAGATAAATAAATGTCGTTAGCAAACAAATAAATATCATTGGACAAATAATATCATTATCAGTATCTGTTTTTACCCCCTTTTTGTTTTTATTTTGGGCGGTCTCATTTAATGTCAATAAAAACGCGTGCGTTAATATTTGTCTTGCGGCTCTCGGACATCTGACGTTTATTCTACGGGGCTCTTAGGCTAGGCAAAGTTTGGCCACCCCTGGGCGACACCACGCCATTCCACATCCCGGGGCCGGCTTATTACCTTCAGGCTTTTGCTCGCCCCCTCGGCCATCTGCAGCTCCAGCCCCTCTTTGCAGGTGTAGAGGCAGTCGATCACTTTCTTGTTCTCCAGTTTCCCAGAGCGGATCATCAAGCCGGCCAGGTTGCCTCGGAAGAACTGGGCCATGCGGTGCTCTCCACCTTTGTCGAGCAAGGGAAGACAAGATGGGGTGAATGCGACCAACTTCTTTGGTGGGACAACTCTGCTCATGGTGCTGGTTATATTGGCATGCGGGTTAGCGAGTGTCCGTTCTTGTGTTAACCTTGCTGTTACGTTCAAGCACAACTCGGGGGGCGTAGAACTTAAAAAGAAGCTCACTCATGCAACTTGAGCAAAGGAGGGAAATGGAATGACCCAGCTCAGCCATGGAAATGAAAGGCTCTCGCCTTTACTGAAAGGTGAATTTCACCCCTTGAGTGGCGTCCTTGCCAGCTTGAGATTTCAAGGCTACGATTCAAAACAGGCATACTGGAAAACGCATCTCTCCTCAGCTCAAAATTGTTCCACGCCACGCATGTACGGCTGAACAAACGAGGGCAGAACTCGACGCCGTGAAAACGGGGCAGGAAAGGATGGATTATGGACGACGATATGAACAAACGTTTCAACGCTTGTGAGACACTCAGCGAAGAACAATCCCAAGACTTAAGACATCATTCGTAAGGGGTGGGTTGTTCCTGCCTGCTGAAAATATGTGTTAATGGCGAAACCTGTCTACCCAAATAAACTCTGTGAACAGCCTGAAGAACTCCTGGAATGAGACCCAGAGAGAGGCTATTGAAGGTACTGGTTTGAGAAACGTACAGCGGTTTATGACGGCTGCTTTTTGGCGCAGAAGAGCCTCGCTAGGAGGAACAGCTTTCCCCCGGGGGAGCCCGAAAACTCCGGCCTCAAACATCTGCTCACCAAGAATCCTAGGTGCCCAGTCATGGAATCCCATTCCTCTTGACAGCTATAAGAATTCTGCTAACAGTCCACTAGACAATCCATGTACTGGCTAAGACCGGGGGGGGGGGGGAGGCCGAGCAGACTCACGTGGATTGTTCTCCCCCCCGCCACGATCCCCTGTGGGCCACTGATGCTTTATAGATTTCAACACACAAGCAGGCATCCTCAGGACCTCTTCACAATTCAGGCATAAGCCAACCAAAATCAAGTGACCTCGCCCACGAGGGACTCAAAAAAGTAATTTGATGGATCAGAGCAAGAACCGGCAGACCAGGAGATCTACTAGGTCCATGACACCCCCCCCCTTTTCAAATTATCCCTGAACGAAGAGAGCCTATGCTTTGAGCCACAGATGTCCCCATTGAAATCTGGCTGCTGCCCTCAAATCTGCCCACCACAAATACAGGGTTGTAGTTTTTTACAGAGTTGGTAGAAATGTTCAACCTGGAGAAGAGGCAGTTGGGGGGGGGGAATATGATGGCACTTTTTAAGTATCTGAAGGGCCGTCATTTAGAGGAGGGCAGGGAGTTGTTTCGGTTGGTAGTGGAGGACAGGTATCGTAATCGTGGGTTTAAATTACAGGTGGGGAGATATCAGTGGGATATTAGGGGGAAACTTTTTTTAACAATAAGGGCATTTCAATGGTGGAATCTGTTGCCTGGGGCTGCTGTGGGTTCTTTCTCCTTGGAAGTGTTCAAGTAGAGATTGCCCGATCGTCTGGTGGGGATGCTTTTGGTCATCCTGCAGGGTGCTGGAGGGTCGGAATGGATGGTCTCTAAGCCCCTTCCAGCTTTCATACTTTGATTCTATATACATCAGGGCTGCAACGTTCAGGCAGTCATTTGGTTATATATTAAACCATTAAAAGCCTTCCAAGGGATGGAGAAGATGTCTCCAATTAAGCAGATAGTGTGTTGTTGTTTTTAAAACAGTTTTATTCTTTACTAGAAGTACTTAAAAAAAATAACAGGCATGGAATATACCATCTTAGAAGAAGCATTCACCCCCCCCCTTTCTTTTCTTGGTATTTTTTCTGTACTTTTCGTGTGTATGTGCGTGCGCATATATGTGCACCTGGAAGTCATGGCGACCTCTGGTGACTGAGCCCTGCTGGGGGCCTGGAGGATATTCAGAGAGGGGGCTGAATAAAGCCTGCCCCCGCCTCCCGACTGCTAGTATTCCAAGGAGGTCTCCCATCCACGTCCTTGCTGGAGTCGAGCCCGCTTAGCTTCCAAGGTCTGACCAGATCGGGCTCGCCTGGGCTATCCAGGTCAGGCCGCATTCCCCCTTTCTGACACAGGCCTCTTCTCAAATGGGCTTGCATGCTCTAAACACGGGGATTTAGGTTCTCCCCCCCCCAAGCAGAAAGACTGCCTTTATTCATATGCAAATATATGCAGCTCTAATCATGAGGTTAAGACTCCTGTGATTAAATCAATTAAGATTTCTTTACAAGGGGAAGACAGCTCCAGCAGAAGTGTGAAGCCGTGCCGTTTAGCTATTCTTTTCTAAGCTGGTTTTAAACGTCAGTGATGAATAATTAGAAGGTATTTTCCTACTCTGGCAGAGCTCTCTGGAGTATTAACAATTTTGAAACGTACAATTTAAAATAAATGGGATTTTTTTAAAAAAAGTCTCAAAGTGGAGATGCAAAGCCCGGTGAGCAATAATTAGGAATATGAGCTGTCACGAAAGCACGTGAGCTGGTGGACAACACCGGGGCTAAGAGAACCGGGAAGCTACTCGTTCAAACCTCACCTCTGGCCTGAACTCAGCAGGCGGCCATAAGCCAAGTTGCAATATCTCAGCTCTGTCCCACCCAAACTGCATTATGGGAATAATAATACAGATCTACTCTGCAAGGTGGTTGTGTGAACCGCAGTGAGATGAATGGATGCAAAGAGTTTAACGCCCTGCAGCCCTTTTGCAAGTGGTGAGCGTTATGCCAAAGGCCACTCCGACATACGAACTAGTGCGTCATTCCGCAGCCGTCTCTCTATAACTCTCAATGCTATCTTCCATTCTTAACAGTTAATGGCTAGAATCAAGTCCAGCAGTGCCATAAAGACCAAGATTTTCGCAGTGTAAGCGCCGTGAGATGTCTGAAGAAGGGAGTTTAAACTCTTGAAGAGGGGTGTCAAACATAAGGCCCGGGGGGCCGGAACCGGCCCTTCCAGGGCTCTTATGTGGCCGGCGAGCAACTAATGCAAGGGAGGGAACAGGAGACTGCTCATGGGGGGGAGAGGCAGTGTCTCGTCTCCCCTGGGTAATGCATGCATCGATGGGTTGAACGAGAGAGAGAGAGAGAGAGAGAGAGAGAGAGAGAGAGAGAGAGAGAGAGAGGAGCTGTAGATTTTTGCCATGAAAATGCATCTCAAACTCTCCATCGTTTCAACACAAGCCAACTGCTCGCAAGCCTGTACGAACAAGCGTCCGGGTGTTAACAACCAAAGGGGGCGAGGAAAGGTGAACACATCATACACAAGCAGCACAAATGGGCGAGAGAAAAAAAGAGAGAGCCGAATTATGTTGATTCGATGGCCGCAACGCAACGCCGGCATTCCATGCGATGTGTGAGATGAAGCAATGTCTGGGCTTAGAAGTGAAACCAAACAAAACAAAAAGAAAGGAAAAAAAAATAAGTTAAGAAGAGGAACACCGGCAACCTGCGGGGCTCTCAGTCGCTTTCTCGGTGTCATTCTCATTTTCTGTATATTCTGCAGAGCGGCGAGACAAAAAGAGACAGGGGAGAGAGAAGAAACAAGGAACCGGGTGGTTAGGACTTGTCGGCTGATCTGTCGCGTCACTCCTGAATCGGACAACCTGCTCACCTGGCACAACCTCCCC